TTCAAATGAAGTCAAATGATATGAACGAAACGAGTGAATTCAAACGTTCCACGATTGAGATAACAAGTTTCAATGTTTTTTAATCCGACATTTTATTTCAACGAAAAAAGTGCAGTTCAAGTCATTTTTTCTCCTCTTTCTTTACGGCCGGTTGGAGGTGATTTGGCTAATCACCTTCGATCCAATCAGCGCGCGCAAAAAGCACTTTACTTGTGTGGTATATATACTTACACTCATGAGATGGGGCAACATTTTTTGAGTTGATACAATTTCACATGTACATTGAAGGCAATATCAACAAATATTTACCAATGTTATCAAACAATTAACAGTAACAGTATCGAATGTTATACTTCTGAAAAGAATATAAGAAAAAATTTTGATTTCAATATTGAATAGGAGACTTGACTCGGAAATAAGTAAAGTTAACTACTATGAGTTCAGTAATAACCGGGTTCAATGGTTTTGGAATACATGTCAGACACATGTCTGTTTAGTAGAAGCTTCACTTGTATGTTGTTGGCCACCATCCTTAGAACTTCTAACTGGTTTCTTTTCATCGACAGTCCCTAGAACTTGAAAAATTTTCAAAGGTAAGGGCCACGTATTTAAAGTGCCCGTAACCTGAAAAAATTCATTTCTTTAATTGAAAGAGCACAGCACCGATTAACATTTGAACAAGTGCAACGTGATTTTTTTTAGAATTGTTAAGAAACTTTCAAATTTGCCGCCACCCGCCATTGTTTAAAGGTAAAACATGCCAGTAAGATGCATCGCAGTGAGATACAGTCAACTCAATAAAAATTCGAAGGTTATAAGAAGTTTAAGTAATAAGGAACGTAACACTCTCCCTTTACCTAATTCTCAGGTCCCAACGAGTTATTTTTTATTGTTTTCAACTCAGGAGTTTCTGTTTTCAACTCTATCAATTATTATTGTGTTAAATTCTTTTAGAAGAGGTAGAAACACTTTGAGGTCTTCAATTTGTCGTGTGTTGGTAAATTTTCCTTTGACACCATCTTATTCCTTATTGTCCGTTGGCAATTCCCCAAAAGTAACAGGCGCCTCGCCTCGCGAGCTTTATAAATTTTCGCGCCTCGTGCGTTGATCGCACAGCGAGGCAGAACCTCGAGTTGTGAATATTTCTACACATCTCTTGGGTGTCTGCAGTTGACGTCATCCAGTTGTGACGTCAGGGTGCCTTCTAGGGTTGCCAGGCGACGCTACTTTAAGTGCGAATGCAAATCATGTTTATTCAAAACACAGGTAACCCAGGCTCACTATCTGTGTCACGTACGGGTTTCACATGACATGAGTAAATAAAGAGAACATATGGGGCGAAGTTTAGGTCTGGAAATTTGGTAGAAAATGGAAATAAAAATCGATGAAACTTACCAAGTCGCGAGTTGTTGCTGTCCTTAATATGCACACAAAGTTTCGGGGAAAATAGTCTCTTTCATCTTTCCTACATATTTGAAGGAGAATATTTTTCCCGAAACTTTGTGTGTATAGTTACTCATGTTATATGAAACCAGTACGTGACACAATTACTGAGCCTGGGTTACCTGTGCTTTTTACCGTAATGTACCTTTGAATTCATGTTACACCTAGGCAAACCAACGATGAATTGGTTCTTTCCCTGCCGATCGATGTGACCGATAATGATCAAATCGAAGACTGGTTTCAGCTGCGTGCATCCATCGCTGAGAGTGAATTACGACCGAAACAACGCAAAATGGCTTTGAAATACGCCTTTAAGCTAATTTTCCTCAAATGGATATTACAATTCATAATAAATACCGCTCCACCAACTTCAAACAGCGTTCACGGCAGAGAAAAATGCTTTAAATTTTAGTGTAACAATTATTCAGTGGCTGCGTGGCGCCCCGGGGGGAGGCACTTGGGTATTTTTTGGGTGGGTATGTGCCGCTCGGGACTCCAAAATGGCACCCCGTTCTAAAAAAATTTCCCCTAAAATTGATACCCCGTTCCAGAAATGGGCCAGTTTTTTATACCTCGCTCTAGAATTCGCCCTAAAACTGACACCCGGTTCTAGAAATGGGCCAATTTTTTACACTCCGTTCTAGGGTGCAACAAGAGTACAACAGTTTGCTTGTTAACGCATTGAACCGTATTTTTAAAAGCAATTTGTCCTTGAATAATTTCAAATGGTTGCTTACAAAACTGGAGCTTTCGTGCGTTCGAAATATTATACCCCGTTCTAGAAAACGCCTCTGAAATGGATACCCCGTTCTAAATCAGGAGCTTCAAAATCACGACCCTGTTGGGCGGCACATACCCGTATAGGTAATGTATGGAAGTACCCCCGGCGTGGCACAGTGGTGAAGGATCTAACTATAGATGGTCTTCAAAGCGACGTCATCAAATTGTAAAGTCAAAATAGCGAGGTTTTACGAATTCTTATTTACACTAGGTTGAAAATAAACAAAAAGTAAATCTATGTACAAGTTTCCATTCCCGTAGCATGTTTCATTTCGAAAGTACAGCAATTTGAACTTCCGAGTTTTCACAGTGCGTGACACCAAGTAGGAATGCTGTATTGTTGGAAAAAAGTCTCTCCTCTTGATTTTCCGCAGTGTAACCATTTCAAGTATAATATGTTTAAGCGCACATATGCTAGTTATCGAGTGAAAAGGAAGAGCTTTTATAGGAAAAGTGAACTCCGGGTGTTTTTTTTAATTTCCGGCGGCCACATTGGTGCACCAAAACAGTGCACCAATATGGTGTCTCCATACAAAGCTCTACAAAGGTGCGTGAGACGTGTCGGCAAATAACTCAGAAACTGTAGGCGTCAAAGACTTGAGACTTGGACAAATTGTTTAAAAATTAGTCTTTTATAACATTTAATTTTCTTGGCTTATTCCACTGGACGGTTTCCAATTTATTTTTTTGTTGCGTGACAGTGAAAACGATCTATAGCTAAGATAGAGAGCAAGTTCGAATTCGAGGCAAAATCATACTTTTACAATTTGTACATTTTTTTTCTTTTTAGTTTTTTGATCATTTCTTTTCCTTTGGCTGGTTTCCCTTTTTTCTCACTGCTGATCCTTTGAAGCTTCGGGAGGATGTTGCGATAACGTATTTCTAGTATAATATTTAGGGTGTGTTCCTTTCGGTGAATCCAAAAACGGATTTTAGATCTTTAAACGTATTTCGCGTTCCTTTGGCAAATCCAAATCCGGATTTCTGATCTGGTGAATCCTTTTTGAAAAAGGATTCATTGGATTTGAAATCCGAAGAATCCAAATCCTGATCAACGGATTATTGATCTACGCTGTTCCATTTTCAGTGGACCCGAAAATAGTTAGATGATCCAGCGGTATTTCAGTATTCCCACAGATTTTCCTAGTTGCTGCCATTTGCCGTACAACGTCTGAAAACACTGGAAGATTGTTCCTGGTATCTTAAAATATCCATGTAATAACCATTTGTCGCTAAAGATTGCTTAAAAACACAAATAAGTAAAAGGGACAAATGAACTATCTAACTACAAACTCGCTTGCAGACGAGATAGGCACTCGACCGTGTCACAAAAAAATCCGAGCTTCGAAACGGGATCAAACTAAGCCGACTACGTAACCTTTAGATAATTTTTGAACTTAAACGCGCTCCTTTTTTGATCTGTTATGTTCCATCGTCGCTATTCGCACTGCCGACCACAAAACTCTGCACGGTATAATCACATAACTTGTCTAACAGTAGAAAACACGTCATTCGTTAAGAGGCTGTCATGCATATTGCACGCGTTTTCGAAAGGTTATACACCTGTCACTGGAACCTCACCCACCCCGGGGAGGTGTCGGGCATTAGCCATGAGGCAAAAAAACTGCCATAAGGCCCCATGTTAAGGAACACTTTTTCTGTCAACACCCCAACCAAATGAGGATAAACCCCGCCCAAGGGGGGGCAAGCTCTGTCTCAGTAAGCCCCATTGTTAGTTAGCTAGAAAAGTGAGGAGCATGGCGTGGAGAGTGGATCCTTACAGGAATCAGGACGAGAGAGAGTGTGAGCGACAGGCAGCAGCTGTGCACGCTTCATAAAACCACTCTCCTTCTGGAACACTGTCCCTTTGACTCACCAAACTAAACAAGAATCTGTGAAAAGCATTGAAAACATTTAAGACACCTAAAAAAGTACAAGCATTGTTGGAATTCAGTACGAAAAACATTTGCGGTGAGTTAAAACTAATTTTAAAAAAGAGCGTGGAAAAAATTTAGATAATTTGACAGGAGCACAGTTTTGGATTTTCCAACATAAATAAGCCAATTGTATTCAAAACAGGCGCAGGAATCAAGAATTCACAGGTACTTCAAAGACATTTTACTTAAAATAGTCAAAAATAAATCAGGACATCGCGAAGAAATTCCGGAACAACCGAGATAATTTAAGCTGAACTATATATAAGATAACTAAACCACTGGACAAAAATCAGCGCAAATGTAATAAAAAAGGACGTATAAACACAGATGGGCTATCCTTTTTAAGCAAATATTTTAGTAAATTATCTGGAAATCACCTTTTTATTGTCCGCCCATCTTGAGCTCGTTTGTCCAAAAATGGCGGGATGAAAAAAATGCTTTGCTCGGCCTTGAGCCTGGGAACCATTCTCTCGCTCCATACTCCTCTCTTACCTCGATAGAAAAATTTTGTAATTCCCCAGCCCTAGGGCAAAGGAAAGAACTAAAATGAACTAATCTCCCACCCCTACAAGCAAGGCAACTCTGATACTAAAATAGGTTAATTCCCCATCCCTTCGGCCCAATTAACAGAGCAAAGCCCTCGACACACCCCCAGTAATGCCCCATATCTCCCCAGGGTGGGGGTTTCCAGTGACAGGTGCATTGCCAAGGTTACAAATCCAATTTCGGATTTCACGTTCCTTTCGACCGCGAAAGGCAGCAAATCTAGGATCAAAAATCCGTTTTTGGATTCGCTGAAAGGAACACACCCTTAATGACAAAATGCATAATTTGCTTAACCATTATTAATGCCAGTAGTTGAATTCCAACCTGCAGCTTACCTTCAAGTAGGCTCCGTGGATCAGTTGTTTTCCCACCATCCTGAAAAGAACAGTTATTATTATGTAACTTGTTACTTTCATTTGATTCTGCAGCCTGGGTTGGACCTGGAGGACATGGAAACTTCATGGGTCGCCTTTCTGCTTTATCAATGATACCAGCTTCTTCATCATCTTGGCTATTTGCACTGGCTTGGCAGTCAACTGTACTCATATTAAAAACTTCAACAGCTGGAATTGTTGTCTTCTCAAATATTTCTTCATCTGAATCATGTGCATCTAAACAAAATGAGAGAATAGGAGACTAATAATTAGTCTCCTAATCTCTCATTTAAGTGTTAACTTAACTCCTCTCAGTCTGAACATGACAGTATGATTAATAATTATTATTAATCATACTGTCATGTTCAGACTGAGAGGAGTTAAGTTGAACTTAAATTGATGTTGACTAGGTGTAGGCCTCGACATGTTTTTACATAAAGGGGTTAACTGCGGCAGGATAAGCTCAGATGGCAGAACGCTTGACTGCAGAGTGGCTGGTCGCGAGTTTCATTCCTAGGGCCAGACCAATACTCAGGGTCTTAAAATAACTGAAAAATGAAGGTACTGCCTTTGCACTGCAAGCAGCTAGACCTTCACGTGCCTCAGATGACCACGTTAAATGGTGGTCCCATCTCCAGTGTTGGAGACATAAATTTAAAAAGTGTCCGCAGTTAGTAATTTCATGCTAAATACATTGACAATCAAATAAAGTGCTTTAGTTATTTTATTTAGTTTTTGTTATAAATTGTAACTTCCAGGAGAATAGGTCTGCATAGTCAGAAAATAAAATAAACCAAAAGCAGCATCAAAGCAAACAATAATGTCTTTTTAATGAGTAAAGGTCAGATGAATTAAAAAAATTATCAAGTTAAAAGAGCTTAATAAAAATAGTCCACTTATAAAGTCCTAATATATAGTCCAGAAACTGCTTAATGCGTGAATTGTGTCCACCTTTGGGTCATGAAAATTTGGTTGTATATTTTTAATAGCGTGGTCATATTAATGAGGTTATAGGGTCACATTAAGGTGTAACATGCCTTAAACATCTACTACACATGAATACCTTTAATTCTGCTATAACTCAATCTTTTTACAGTTATTTTTCAACCTTACAACTGCAATACATTGCAACTTAATGATGTAACTATACAAAACCGATCAGTACATGGGAGATGAGAAATACCCCTATGAGCCATTCTCTATATTGTAGCTTACTTGCAACACGTTAAACAGAAATAGCAAGTTCAAACAGTTTTGAAAAAGTCTGTCTTCACTAAGCTTCCTCACCAGGAAATTGAACAGGTTGTATTAACAGCGTAATTTTATAAAGAAAATAAGGACTAAAAGGTGGTGGCCTTGTTGGTCTTAAATTATAATGGGGGTGGTTGGATTATGGTAACAAGTTTCCAATTAAGAGAATGAGTGGATTTTTGGCGAGACCACAAAAAAGGTCGTTGTAAAGTGGCAGTTCTATGGTGGCGGGGTTCCACTATCAAATGACTATTATATCATTCAGAAACTGCTGATTGAGAAGCTTTTGTGCTCCAAGCTGACTTATAAACAAGGCATATAATGGAACATTACTTTAAGAGGGTAACGAGGGGTCAGACCCTGAGGTGGAGCCTCCCCATATAAAACTTTGTTGTGGACCTGGGCCTCTCTTATATTGATGGATCTTAATTGCATAATTTTGGCACCCCTCGGTCAAGTATCGGTCAACACTATCACCCGATACTCAATGGACATGTTGGCTGACATATCAACCCACTCTCGATCGCTTTATCGGTCAATTTGTTGCCTTACATGTTAAGTGATAGTCGACCGAGAGTGGACCAGCATGTTAGCCGAGAGTGTTGGTTGGGTGACATTGTATGTTGATTGATAGTTGGCCGATATGTTGATCAATAGGCTACCAACATTTGGCTGATACTTAGTCCACTATTCTTCTGGAGGTTTATCAATTTTTTTCTCTATGTTACGAGTCAAATTTGATTACAGGTATACGTACTTTGATTGATTCTCAATTTCCTTTGTTTCCTAGCCCTAATTCATGAATAGTTTGGGTTAGGAGACAAAGGAAATTGAGAATCGACCTAGGTTAAAAAAATTTAACCTGAAATCAGTTTTGACCTGTAACATCTCAAATTTTTGTTGTTGCATTGTCCATACAGTGATTTTTGAGGAGCTTTGGCAGTTTTAACCAGTATAGTGTCAAGAGTTAGGATTATTGCACGTGTCTGCATGATTTTTTTGTTCAAACATTAAAATAGCTCATTTATCGATTGCACACTGCACTGTGTCAAATGAAAAATGGTCGAACCTGGACATGCCAGAAGAATCATTATCTAATCTTAGAAGGCTGTGTACTTTGATGTTTATTTCATATTTCTAGATTACAAGTCTTTGAATCATCCTCAGTATATCCCGTTGTAGCCACATTTACCTGCAAAATGACTTCTGAGCAGCGACTGTAGAAATTCCATACTGATGACGCATCATTACCCATACCTGGGTAGTGCCTCTGATTAGCTGAGGCAGATTTCCCATGTGGCATATGACCAAGCAGAAGAGCTACCCAGATCTGGGTAATGACAACACCATCAGTATGGAATTTCTCCAGTCATCAGTCAGACTTAATTTCGCTGGGAAAGCAGTGGTAGTGAGGCAAAATGTAGGCTGTTTTCTCAGGCTATGGCACCAGCTGCCCCATTCTGATTAATTGGCAATTTTTCCTCGCTCGAGCCCGTATGGGCTCTGAGTCTATGATCAGGGCAAGAGGAATAATTGTTTTAGTAAAATCCAACTAGTCGGTCAAAAATATCGAGAAGAACTTTAGCTAGCAAAACACGATTCAGCCGCCATTGTTTTGGTTTTCAAAGCCGGCGCTGTAACATACAGCCTGGTAGTAGCTCAACCAATCAGAATGCAGCATTGACAATAGACCACTAGTTGGATTTTACTAACACAAATTATATCATATGACCCTCCACTGATATCCCACAGACAATTGACAGTCACTGCATTGACTGGGTGTCGACTGGTATAATTTGGCCAAGTACTGACCGGTGCTTAGTTGACATATTGGTCAACATATTGACCAACACACGGTTGAGTGCAGGCTAACATATCAACCGATATGTCAGCCGATACATCAGCTGATATTCACTCCAGTATCAACTGACATATTAGATTGCAAAACAGTCTGTTTTTTTTTCTCAAAATCGGTTTAATAGTGTAAGAGTCTCACACGCTCGAGCTAGCATGTCTCATTCTCTGTTTTCAGCCTCTCTCCAGACCTAATTTTGTTTGACTGCTCGCACGTACTTGAATACGCAAAAATACAGACTGTCGTGCAGTCTACTGGCATATCCATCAACATGCCGACCGGCAGTCCACTAGTATGGTGATTGAGAGTTGGCTGATATGTCAGTCGACATGTTGACCGAGTATCGACCGATAGTGTAGACCCATACTCGACCGAGGGGTGCCCAAATTACACAAGATCCATAAAATTGTTCTTAATATGTCAGATGATAAGAAAAAAACATATTGGAAACATAATATTACAGATAAAAATAACTCTTCACAATTGAAGAGTTTTCCTAAAAGTGAGTATTTCTGTCTGCCTATATAATTGGAGGAAACTTGCATGGTTAACACTGTAGCGCTAGCTTCCTGTCTCGGCACCCCTAACTATAAACTTAACTTATATATAACCGACAAATTTGATCTGAATCCTAATTACTGCCTTACGAGAACGTTAACAATAAGAAGCTTTTATCTGTTATTGATTATCTTACTTCTTCTGCTACTATAGCCTCTGTTTCGACATAAAATACCGTAAAATTCCGCAAGTAAGCCCCAGGGCTTACATTTTTCAAAGGCCCTTTTTGAGGGGCTTATTTTTGGACGGGCTTATATACGGAAGGAAAATTGCGTTTCAAAATCGGCTAGGCTTATACTCGGAGGGAAATTTGCGTCTCAAAACCGATTGGGCTAGCTTATAGTTCGAAGGAAATTTACGTCAGAAATTTGCAGAAAGGTTTTATTGAAAGTCACCTTGATGACGTAGACCTTTGTAAAACGCAGCCATGCAAGTACTTTGTCCATATATGCATAGGCGTACGGGCCATTTTTTGCCAGGGGGGGCGTTAAGCTATTTGCCCAAAAAATTCTCCCAAGTTGCGCAAATTTTTATGAAACAGTAGAAAAGAAACGAGGGCGATACGATGCAATAACGTAGGCCGTACTGGCATATAAAGGTCAATACCTCCCAATTTTGAGAATAACTACGTCGCCATAGACAAACATTTGGAAAAACTGCTACCATAGTTTTATTAGATAAAGATGAAAATTTATCATGAGCAGGGTTTTAATGACATCGGAATTGTCATAGCAACGAAATGACGCCATTGTCTATTTTACTTGCAGCAATATTTCTCGGCACTGGGAACTATTCCTACAAAATTGTTCACGGGGAACTTTTTTCTCCAATAGTCGCCTCGATGTTCGTGAAGTTAAAACGGAATCATCATTATAGGAGCGTTATTGGGATATTTTGGGATGAAGGTTTTATCATTATAAATATGGGGAAAAAAATCTTGATGTTTGGCTGTTATTTGTAGAAAACGAAGCTCTTTTGACATGCAATTTCACCTCATAGTAGCTTTGCAATCTTTTTAAAAACGTGTGTAAAAGATATGATCATGGATATGGCTCCGGCCGATTGCTAGAGAGAAGGATTTCATTAGTATGTATCGAGGGGCTCTTGTTAGCGGTTTTGTAAACATTTCGGTCTACTTTAATAAATTACTGCTTGATAGATTTTTTAAAAAAATTAATATTCTTCTCGTAATTCGAGCGGATTACTAGTCAGCCACTTCGTCATTTTCAGACCCACTGTTGCTGAGATGATTCTAGAAAGATATGCAGAAATTTATTCTAATCAATTCACAACTGGAAAGAGCCCATTCCAGCCAGTGCAGTGCAGTACAGTGCTCACCAATGAAAACTATAAATATGTAAATCAACAAATGATACCCTTCCCTATAACCAGAAACTCATCACGCGCTAGGCAACCACTGTGAGTGTCTCGAGAGAATGTAACTGGATTATTACGCTGACTTCAGGATTTTTTCAGATTAAAATAGAAAATATTTGTCTCTTTAGATTAATAAAAAAAACATGGAAACGTCTTTAAAAACTGGCTTTGCCCAAATTTTCTCTTGCTGCCCAAAAAATCTGAGTCGCCCAAAATTTGGGGGGGCTGCAGCCCCCTCGCCCCCCCGGCCCGTACGCCTATGTCCATATGGACCAAGGAAATCCAAGCCGAGAGTAAAGAGTGAACTCCGCAAACAGCAACAAACTGCAACACTTCTGGCAGCAATCATTTGGCACACGTAATACAAAAATTTATATATGTGTTGCTTTGTCATGAGGGCAATTTGCAAGTACAAGCCGCCGGGAGCTTATATTCGGAGGGGCGATTAACGGAGGGTTTTTGGCGTTACGAGTTTGGAGGGCTTATATTTGGAGGGGCTTTTTTTCGGAATTTTACGTTACAGTATGGAATCACGCCACTAGCCACGTAATAGCCGAGAAATGAAAAAACTCAAGCAGAAACAATTCCACCAGCAAACAACGATTTAAAATACCTTGTGAAGGCGTTCTTTCGCGGATTGATTCAGACTCTATCGGGTCGACGAATTTCATCCTCTCAGATCGATTTACTGTCTTGTTGGTGTGGCACAAACGTTTCGAAACTTGTCTTGACAACTGAAATGTAGAGGTAGATGTAGACGTGTTAAGGCAACTTTCAAACCGGAAACACACCCTCTCTCGTACGTCATTGCCGTTCCCACTGCCTAATTTGGAAACAGGAAGGAAAACGAAAAAAGAGAAACAGGAAGTCAGGAACTGCTGTTTTTTTTGGGCGTCGTTGCAGGCTTTCGGCACTAACGAAAATGTGAGAATTTACATGAAGAAATAATATGCCTTTCTCATTGTAAAAATAAAGACATTATCGCAATAATAAATAAGCTATTACATGTAGGGTCGCACACAGGGAGCCCGAACGCTGTTTTAACTAATAGAAAAAATCAGATGTATTTACGCTGTATTAGATAATAAAATACTAAGATGCATTGTCATTTGTTCCTGTCACTGTCTTTATAAGTCGTTTTGGAAGGGATTTGAATCCGATCAGAGATGGTTATTGAATAACATTGCTGGTTTGCGTTTGCTTGTCTGGCGCATCGTAAATAAGCAAGACGCTCAAGTTTCGCCTCACGTTTCTAATATTGTCGCGTCTTATTTACGACGCGTCAGACAAGCAAACTCAAACACATTTGATAACCAGCAATGTTAAATGTTAACCGTCTCTGGTCGGATTCAAATCCCTCCCAAAACGACTTATAAAGACCGTGACAGGAACGAGGGAAAATGCATCTTGTTATTTTATTAGCTAATACAGCGTAAATACATCTAATTTTTTCTATAAGCTAAAACAGCGTTCGGGCTCCCTGTGGTCGCATTGCCATAATGATGCCATAACTTGTCAAGTATTGATATCTCCGTACTCGTGGAGGAGAACATGTTCGTCGAAGACACTAACTTTGTGTCATTTATTATAGTTTTTTGAAATGAAAATAAACTTACCCTTTCTCTCCCTAGTTCCCTCCTGTTTTATTTTCGCGTTCGCGCTTTCTCTATTTCGCGGACCCGACTACCAGGAACTTGGAGACATTTACCCCCCAAAGCCTGGGTTTCATATGGCGCGAAAATCCCAGGCGATTTAGCCTGCGTAGCAAGCGTTTCCGTTTGGTTTCGAAGCAAAGAAATACCGAGGAAGACTTTCGGTTTTGACCGCGCGAGAAATGAAACGAGAGCCAAAAAGTGAAAGAGGGGCTCTCTTGCTTGCGCCACTCCTTTTCTCGCGGTCTTTGACTCTCGTTCCTCGTTCTTTTCTCCTAAACCGCACAGAAACGCTTGCTACGCAGGCTACAGGCGATTGGGATTTTACTTTTCGCCCAGCATCCCAGCTTTTGCCTATAGATATAGGCCTAGACTACAACTATTACGAAAAATGGCCTAAAAATGTTTCCGGAAACTTCCAGATGTTTTTTCTGAATATCTCGAAAAAGTTCTAAATGTCTCAAAAATATCTGGGAAAATCCCAGACGATCTGGGATTTTACTGTTTCCCGATTGTCCCAGATTTTGCCGACTAATGAAAACTCGAAATCGTAGATATCCCCGATCGTCTGGGATGAACGAGGACAAATCTGGAGAATCGGGAGCGTTTCTATTTTAACCTGAGTATCAGGCCTTCCTAGGGGGCTAGGGGAGAGGAGATTTTAGATGGGGGAGGGGGAGGTGGAGAAGACTCTCCATCAGCTCTCTCCCTTTTTCGCTTCCATCTTTCTCCTTTTCCCCAGAAACGCATGATACTCAGGCTATTTCTATTTTCCCGACTCGTCCCAGATTTCTGCGATGGTCGGCGATCATTCCAGACAAATTGAAAACTCAAATTTGTATCGTCGGGGACGTCGGCGATGGATTTCGCACATTACCAATCCCCTAAATTGCTGGGCTCCAGTCCCCCTATCACGCAAGTTTCAATTTTTGGCGCACTTTCCATTTCCGGCCAAATTCATAGGGAGAATCCCCAGGGGGGGGTACTCGGGATTTCAAGTGACGGGGATGATCGAAGGATTTTTTGGGGTTTGAAATTTTCGATTCTGGGATTTTTTTGGGTACGAAAATTTGGTTTTATTCGTTATGTTCTGACCCGGGTTGGTCTTGTTTAGAGTTGTATATAACGTTACTGTTGAAACAAAACCGTTCTTGGGTGTCTCTAGCACCCGCTCCAGCTTGTTAAAATGACTGCCAGAAGAGGGAAAGGATATATTCAGATGGTATGATAAAAAAACAAACACGAGTGTTCAATTTCCAATGTTTTCCTTTGTGTTATAGCATTCCCCTTTTCTGGAACTTTTAAGGGCCACAAAATCGGCATGGGATTTTTTGGGGGTTAATTTTTGGTCCAGGGATTTTTTGGGGTTTTGCTGGAAGCCCTAGGGATTTTTTTGGGTCTTGACTTTTGGCTCCATTCGATCATCCGCGTCACTTGAAATCCCGAGTACCCCCCTTGGGGAGAATCAGAGAGAGAATTGTGGCGATTATCCGATATATCTGGGACGGTCGGCTAAAAGTGAAAGCCCCGATCATCTGGGATTTTCCCGTCTCGTCCCTTGCCTAGTCCCTTAACCTGTGATCAGGCGGTCAGATAAGAAGCGAAGAAATCGTTTACAGTAGATTCATAAAGACCCCATTGGGCTAACTAATCGTGCTAAGCGACAGGTAAAGACATTTTTCAAGGTGAGACTTTGAATAAGTAATTCCATGGGATGCCTGTGGCACTCCCACGGTAAAAATCCGGTTCGGTTGTACCCAAAATTGCAAAGACAGCCAATAGGATTGCGTAAAATCTTTATCGACTATTTCTTCTTCCAAGTCGGCCAATGGGATTGTACAAAACCTTTATCGATTTTTGATCGACTTGCTTGCTTGTCAAGAACGTTTCAGAACGTTTCATTGTACGAACAAATTGCAAAGCCAGCCAATAGGATTGCCTAAAATCTTTATCGATTATCTCTTCTTTCAAGCCGACCAATCAGATTGTACAGAATCTGTATCGATTTTTAATCGATTTGCTTCCTCAGAAAAACGTGGAATTCAGAACGTTTCTTTGCCAAATTTGTCGCCCTTGAGTTTTCCCACTCGTGGTTTAGGATGGCTTGTGTAACCAGCGAAATCCTTCGGGATACTAGCAAGTCACGAAAGGCCACCTACGCCAAATTATTTCTTCTCTTCATGATTCGTTTTTGTTTAGGTCTAGCTTTTTCATAAGGTTTTAGTAGCGTCTGGTTGCGGGCCGTAATTTCCGATAGATTGATTCGGAGTTCGCCAGTTTTTGCCGAGCACAGCTAGAGTTCAGTTTTTTTCCTTTCTTAGCGAAAACACCTTGACGATGGGAGGTTAAATCGCGTAAATTTCAACTCGTACCCTTGACGATTGGCGGTGAAATCGCGAAAATATTGTCCTACTCGCTTTCGGCATGGATTGGACTTCTGGATGGGACACGGATCAGGACCTTAGTAACCTTTTGGTACCTTGGTATCAGGGATAATCATTAGAACTATGTTAACTTTGAGACCTTGGAAACACATTGCAATTAATTTTTAACCGTATCAAGAGCATCTTGGAATATCAAACTTTTATCTTGGATTAAAACTTCGTAACCCTGGGTTCGACCCTGGATATTGCCTGCGTGCAGACGTCTCCTATTTCCTTTGTTGCACGCGGAAAAGGGACGTCTGCGTAACGCCGTCGCTAATCGTGTTCCAGCGTCCCGCTGGCAGGGTATTCTATTTCGCATAAATTGTGAAATAATATCCGGTTAGAAATAAGAGGACAGGCCAAACAAAACATCATAAGCTCGTGATACGGGCGAAACGTGACCTTGAGAGTCTGCTTGAACAGAGGTTTTTCTTCTTTTCTCTCTCGCGCGGAGATTACTAGCACTACACAGTGCATGTAGCATTCTAACCTTTGAGTCTTACATTTAGAGGTCATAAAGCAGGTTTGTTACATGCATACTGAGTAATCATTTCCTGTGGTTTATGCTTCTGTGCATGTGGGTGTTCCCGATAGGATTTGATTTCAGATGCAGTTGTAAAGTGTTTAAATTTTCTTGACCTCTGTTTGTTACGGCTAAATAAAGATTTTAGTTTCTTTGGCTGGCTTTCTCCGAAATGCCTGCCTAGTGCGAAGTCCTTGCCGCTTTTGTAGTTTTCTCAGACACTGTTTACAAATATGATGTGATGTGTCATGCACACTAAATTGTAAAGAAATAATTTCCTCGTACACGTTAAATTTTCCGCGTCCCCGCACAAGATTTCGATCGCTCTGCTTTTCGATCGACGAAAAACACAGCACACAATCGCTCATGTTTTAATTTGTTTTGGTTAGAAAACCTTGCTTACATAAATCATTTAAATCACCGCATACATTATCAGACCACATTCGATAACAACCAATCAGCGTTAAGTCAAACAATGCGCACTGTGTGTCAGCCTATCGCAGCGTGTTCCCAAGATCTTGGGAACCCAGCAGGACGCTGGAACACGATTAGCGACGGCGTTACGCAGACGTCCCTTTTCCGCGTGCAACAAAGGAAATAGGAGACGTCTGCACGCAGGCAACCCTGGATAAAGCAAACGGGTGTTTTGTTTTGTTTTGTTCCATTAACCTAAAACTACAGTGTTCATTTCTCTTTGACAAAGTTACCTGTAGCAACTTTCTACCAAGAAATGACGTATCTTTATACATATAGTTCCTGTTCAGGTTAATCAGGGAGCATTATGCGCATGTTCTCCATTACTTGTTTCCGTTAACATTCCAATTTAAGTTACACGGGTAAACCTTTTTTTGATGCAAAATAACTTCTTTTTCTTATCCAAATCGTGCTACGAAAATAACTCCATAGCGATAGATCAAAACAAGATCAACTCCATCCTCGCGACCACTGACAACTATAAATTTAGCTTGTGTAGCAGGTGTCGAAAGGGACCGCAAAGGGGTAGGGGATAGGGAGGAAGTAAAAAGGGGATGTGGTTGGGGAGAAATAGTAGCCTGCCACGCAGGCTACTATAAATTCAGTCATAAGCACATTAAACCAACCCATACAGGTAACCTACTCATCGATGCTCATAACATGACACATCTTTCCGGTTTCCCTAATTTTTCCAAATTCAGATAGAAGGCCATTATGCTTCCATAGACCAACGCATCCCACGGAAACGACTTTAGGAGTCTTGTTCATTTATTCACACGAAACTCCTCTGGACCCTGTGTCTCGGGTCCTCTCCGAGAAGAGCGCGGGCTCTTTTCCCCAACAGCGGCTGGTAATCGAGCCTAACCCCTAAGTGTGACGACGGACGACGGACGACGAGGATCTCCGATAATTTTAGCTGCGCGCTACGCGCGGGGAAAATCACTTTTCCCCGAACACAAGTGACCCTCCGTCATTTTCATTTGATAGTTTAGACTCTAAAACAGTCGGTTTTTCTCTCAAAATCAGTAAAAAAAATCGGTAAAGCGTGGCGTAAGAGTCCTACGCGCGCGAGGCGCGCGAGCCTCACACGCCCGTATGGCGTGTGAGTCTCGCTCTCTGTTTTCAGCCTCGTTCCAGACCTTTTGTTTGACTGCTCGCGCGTACTTGAATACGCAAAAATAGACTGTTTTGCTGTCTAGTGATAGTTCCACTCCGCCCTTCGCTGGGTAGCCTGCGAAAACAGCCGTTTCTCCTCGCTTTTCGCTGCTGAGGACGTTTCACGAGGAATAACGTCTGCGACTCAGCGACAGAAATTCCATGTTGATAACGTAAAATCTGTCCGGAATCCGGTCAGAAGCGCTGATCGGTCGAAGGAGTAGTTACATTGTTTTAGCTATTGTTTACGAATGACAGACAAATTCAAAAGGCCACGAGGGTCAAATGTAAACGGGATAAATCTCTAACAAAACAGTCAAAATTGGTGGAATATATTCTTCTCTAGAAGAAGTATTTGAGTTTTGCTGGAGCTCGTTGGCAGATGAACACAACACTTAAGTGAAATCGACCAGGAGAAACGTAAAAGATGGGAACCCCGTGACTACTGAACATTGATTTACGTCATCAGTATGGAATCGCAGACGTTCCTCCGCCCGAAAGGTCCCCAGCGGCGAACAACGAGGAGAAAGGGCTGTTTTCGCAGGCTATTCGCTGGGTGGCTCATAAAGAAGATTTCGTTTTTGATTGACAGAGGGTGATATCATTTTCAACAATGACTTGTTTTATCGATAGCTATTGTGTAATTTGTTTCCAGATTAACTTGTTAAATCATGCAAAATGGTCATGGTTTAGCATTTTCCCTCGTTGTTGACTAAAGTAGTTCGAATTTCGCCTTCAGGCTTTAACTCCATTTCGAGGAATACATTCCTTAAAACGGTATAACTACGGGTTGTCTTGCACTTCTGCTTCGCGTGATCTCATGATGCGTATACTGTTCGCTTTTGGTTTCGTGGTTCTTTAATTCTGTACGTGGAAATGACAAAACATTTTTGTGGTGATTGTGTGTGCCATTGTAACTGCGTTTCGTGTGGGACAAAGTTCAGTCAAATGTTGGACTGGATCGTCGACAAACGGCCTCAGAAACCACCAAAGGACCCTGAAACTAAGATCTGGTACGAACGAGGCAATTGCACTCGATTCGACCTGCTATTTCCATTTTTAACTGCTCTGGTGTCTTTGCTAGATCTAGCATTGGACTTGAGAGTTGCTGTGGCACACTACAGCCGCGGTGACGTCGCCTGGGCTTTCCTTACCGTTACGTTTGCTTTCGTTTCGCTTGTTTCCATCGAAATTGTATCCGCAAATTGGTTTCTAGAAGATCAGAGGAGTTTCAAGAAAGAAATATTGAAGAAAAATGGACTAGAGATCAAGAAATGGTTCTACGCCTGTCATTGTTTTTTCGGCGGGACCCTGTTGAGGTAACCTTTCTCAGTTGTGAAATAGTTCATTTGAAAACGTAACGTTAACATAACGCGGAGTATAGCTTGCGCATGAGGTTGTCACCCGGGTGAGATGTAAGTGTCGAAAATAAAAATAAGGGAACATCGTGTACTTTAATTTGATTGTTTACAATTGCACGATATACGCAATTTCTGTAGAGGCTTGTTGATTGTACTTTAACCTGTTGTTAACTCGACGATGATTTCAGGTTTTCGTTCCACAATTTGTCAATCTTTTATTATTGTTCCGAATAACAGGTCATTATTTATTTCCTTAACTCCTAATATATTGTAAACCTTTTAACAATTCTCGTCTTTCAACATTCTTACGCCAGTCTGCAACTTTCTTGATCGCAAAATGAACATGAACTCGTCTTCGATCTAGAGCACAAATATATCTTCCCTGCTCGTGTCACGCAATTTGGCAATTTTACTCTCGGACCTACCTCGGACGTAGTATTAAAATAAAACGGAAAAGCGGATTCCGTTTACCCAACACAAACCAACCGCAAGGCAAGTACAGTGTGTAAATGGCTGCGTGGACTAGCCACGTTCGGTTTCCTTCACTTATCGTTAAGATATATTAAACACCAACTTTTTTAAGGAATAAGTAATTTTAAAATATAAAAACGAGATATATCAAAATATAAAGTTACTAAGTTATCGTTTCCAGTGTCTGGTTATTTCCTATAATTGCATACTGCGTGTAGGCTCCGCACGAAAGCCGGTTTCCTGCCAAGTTCAGACTTCAGGTAGATAGATTTAAAAGGGTTGGGATGACCAGTTGTAGTGTTTAAAAGGGTAAAGAAATATGCAATGGGACCAAAAGGGCTAACGTGCTCATTTGCGGCTGTGAAAACACCAGCTGACAAGAAATTTCAGGAACACCCAACGAGACTTTAGTTCAAAACCGCTAAACCAAAGCATTGTTCACGTATTTTGGTATTTAAACGGTAGATATAGGCATATTTTTATCCCCTAAAAATTTTTGATCTGTTCGGATTTCCTAGCCGAAAGTCTAGTGATCCGAAAATTATAGGGATCAAAACTTACCTTTTCGAAAATTTCAGCCAGAAAAAGGCTCCCGAAAATTCTAGGTGACCTTTTTAGGGTAAAAATCCGTTAAAAACAGGCAATTATACCATATTTTAGATGTTCGAAAATCCTAGGAGAAGCAGGCAAGCAAGAAATTTTACAACACATGTTCCGAAAATTCTAGATCTCAAATCGTCTTCCGAACAGATATTTTTCCGAAAATTGTCGTTGGGTGCCCCTGAAATTTACCATGCGTAGAGATTTATTCATATTTAAATGATGGTGCGCTATTTACTGCAGTTAGAGGGATGCAGTTCTTTAAACTTGGATATGTGAAATGTGTACCGATTTACCACTGAAATAGAAAGCTTTGAAGAGGATCTTTGAAACACTGCAGTACAATGAGGTAGAATCAGTGAATATTTTGTTGAGACAGAGAGTTCCATTCATTTGTGGTCTAGGTAGACTTAAAGCACGCATTCTTTTCTGACTATTTTAGTATTAGTGCACTCTAAATACTAAATAAGTATTTCTAAGTACTAAATACCAAGTATTCCTCCCTTTTTTCTAACCACGAGATTTTGACGGCTCAGTTTGAACATAAGTGTCAATCTGTTCTTCTTGTTTCTGAAGTATCCCATTCTTGTTCTTCAAACACGCGACCTAGAACAGCTTAAAACATTGGCTGTTTAGTTGTAATATTGGGGTAAAAAAACGTGCTGCTTTTCTTTGGACTCTTTCAGGGGGAGAGGGGTTAAGGGGGGGGGTTCATGTCTTTTTTATAGTGCGGATCCGTAGACGCGATTGCGTAATGATTCCAAATTGGGAAGAACAATGGACGCATATGCAGTTTCTTACATTTCAGTAAACAAAAGTTTAAGACTCTGCAGATATAGCGCTTGATGGTTATGTAGTGCGGTTAGTTTATAAATGAGTTACAGACTCGTTGTATTTCAGTACTAAGCTAGTGACCAGGGATTTGGTTAAAAAAAAAATAAATGAGATGCTCTAAAAATGTCTTTTCTCCAGATGCTGTCAGGTTTTCAGGACTGTACGTCTTATACGAAGTAGAAAAGACGAATCACTGGGAGATAAAGAACGATATCGCCTTTATATTGCTCAGCTTCAGGACACAAGCACTCTGGGAGTGTTAGAAGCATTCATGGAGGAGGCTCCACAGGTTTGCTTTAGGGAATCTATTACTGTTTAATAAGAGGTGAACTTAGTTTTGTACATAAAATTCTGGTCTCATTTAGCGTTTGTATTCAATGGTTTTGGTTAAGTTAGTAGTTCACACACGACTCATGTTAAGATGCAGCTGGGGAAAAAAGATTAAGTAGAACTGATAACGATATTGACTTACTGCTGGTCGAATAAAAACCGCGAGAGCCCTTACAAATAGACCTTGTCACGGTTTTCGACGCCATCTTGACGAGTAGGCAAACGTGTGAGAAATTACAGTGTATGAGAATCTAATGTCAAATGATTTCCGTAAAACGGCTGTTATGAAAAAAATATGACTTGTAAACTAAAGCTACAAAACCAAGGATTGTACCTAAAAATTTTTCTGGGCGTACCTTTGCTTAAATTTCTCCAGAGGTTTGCTTTAGATTTTCCATATATTTGTCTCTAATTTTTCCCTAGATTTTCTTACGGACAAATGTATAGAAAATTTTAAAAGTGGTTCTAGGTCTTCTAGCGTATCTAACGCCCTCAATTTTTTTCAGTAGATTCCTTATGAGTGAAGCTTTAGTTTACAATTCATATTTTTTTCAGAACCGCCATTCTACGGAAATTATTAGCTATTATTCGACACTAGATTCTCATACAAACTGACTGTAATTTCTCAAGCGTTTGCCTACTCGTCAAGATGGCGTCGAAAACCGTGACAAGGTCTATAGTACGAAAACAGATTCTCTTCTTGATGCTCTGTTTTGTACCCAGTTAATTGTGAAGCATAAAGGATCAAGGACTGGTTGTACTTCATTGACTACGCACTGAACTTTTGACCATAGTAACTGAAGTTCAGTTGCAGCATCTTAGATTTCAAGATTCCTTAAGTCAACTGATTTGCTCTTGGGAAATTAAAATAAAGAGAAGTAGAAAAAGACCTTTCCACAGTTTTTTACCAGTTTTGCCATGGGCAAGTTAGGGAAAATCCGTTGACACCACTGGAAAAAGCGCCTTCAAATTAGTAAAATAGCGAACTTTCAGGGGCACCCAATGGATCTGTTCCTCAAAATATCTGTTCTTCTGGCACATTTTTGCTGGCTGGGAGATGTGAAAGAAATAATAGTCCTTGGAAGGAAAGTGTTGCTAGGAAAAAGATAATTCAGGGTGTCAGAGGGCATTTGAAGTCTAGAATAGCTGCTACGGGTTACTTGTATGGGTTACTTACCACTCAAGATCTGAATTGTGCCCTATGAAACTTCCCAGTAAGTCAGGTTGCAGGTTGTAAGGTTGCTGGCTGGGAACTCTTCTATCAGTCTTGCTGGGAGTGAGGACCAGATAATTTTTTTTCCAGCAATCTCCCAAAATGCTTAAAATAGCCTCAGAAAACTTTATTCACGCTTTGCTGTTGTTTTTAGGTCTTTTTTCTCAAAATTTCCCGTTGGGTGCCCCTGAACTTTGAAAACTAACGAAAATATAGCTCCTCAAAGTCGCGAAATTTTTCAGACGTTGAACAACATTGCACGCCCTGCACACACACGAAAGTCTGTAAATTTTCGTAACTTGAGGGAGCTACGTCTTCACTCCCTTAAGACGTATCACTTTTAAATTGAGCAGTTTTACCGCAATTTCAAGGCGCTCTTTCTTGTGGTGTCGACGGATTTTCCCTAACTGGTCCAAGTGAAAAGTTGGGGAAAAACTTTGGAAGGGTCTGTTGAGACTTTCTGAGTACAAAGACATGCCGGGAAATAGTGTTTCTCGCCGCCCCGTAATGACCATTGGGTATTTGGACGTCCACATTTTTAGTACTCCTTGGGCCTATCCAAAAACAACGTTTTTTCCTTTCCAGGTCGCTTTACAACTCTACATTCTGCTTTGTCGTGAGACTCTAGATCTGACATCATTTGAAGACTTCATTGTGGCCATCAGTATTCCCAAGTCCTTAGCTCTGTTTGCCTTCCACTTGCTCATCTACGCAAGGTATATTCGTCTTGCCGATGAGGAGAGTCAACAGTTGAACTGGTGCAGTTTAGGATCTTTGTTCTGTTTTATATGGCGTCTTTTTATGCTTACGTCAAGGATACTAGCACTCGCCTTGTTTGCTTCTTATTTCACTCGCTTTCTGTTTGTAGTGGTTGCAATTCATTTTGTAGCTTCGTGTGCTCTGCTTTGGAGACAGGAATGCGAATACTTTGAGGGTGAAATGGTAAAACAGACATTCTTTAGATGTGCTATTGCATACGTCCATGTTTTTTGCTTCTTTCCATTAGAAGGCAAGAACACTCGACGGTGGGGATATCCCTATTATCTATTAATTCTAATTGAAAACGCCATTATGGTTATCTGGTGGACGTTTGTAACAGATTACGGACCCAAGTTCCGTGTGGCGATGTTGTTAACAGAATGGGTTACGTTCTTTATTGGATTGATTGCCCTCATTTTATTTTACCGATTCTTTCATCCTACATTAAACTCAACTGAAGTAGAAACCGATAAAACAGATGGCGTAGTTAGACCAGACTCCAGGCTTAAGATTATTTATAAAAGAGTGCAATGGGAAAGGAAAGATAAGGATAACAATGAGCCAAATATGAGAAAAAACAATATTACTTTTAATGTGGCTATTGATCTACAGGGGGAGATACAACACTGAGCCGCCGAACTACGTCGTTAGATAGGCAAAGCAGCGCTGAGATGTTAAATAACCGCCTTCAGCAGGATTACTCACTGAGTGAGCAAAACAATGTAGATTGATCGGCAATGGTGATCGAAAGGAGTTCAACGATGTATTATGATATTTGTTATTATATTTGCCAATATCAGTACCATTATGTTTAGGAATTTGATTTCAATTGTAATTTGCTATTTAAAATGCAGGAGCAGTGCAATTGTCTGTGATGTAAATAAAGTTACTAGAAATGCATATCATGTTTGGTGACTTACTAAGAAACGCGCAGTTTAGGCCTAGATACAAAAATCCAGATTTTTTTTTAGGATTTTAAGAATCAAATGGGATTTTTAGAAGATAGTGTTTAGAAAAATACAGTTGTCATGTTTTTGTCCTCGGTTATGCCACATGAAATGTCAAACTCTGCTAAGTGTTTGTTGTCGTTATCGTTTGTTTCAAAGAGAAATATGAAAACGAGACGAACTACTAGTCTGAAATGTCATATGTCTCCACCCCATAACCTGTAGGGGGCATGGGTTAAGGGATGGAGACGCAGTATGACATTTCAGACTAACGAACCACTTACATTGTCTAGTAAATAAATAACCATTTTAAATCAGTTTGAACGTGTTTGCATGCAATTTTACCACAGGACCTGTGCTCAAATTGCGCAGGTCACAAAAATCCAGCATTTTATGCAAATTATATGAAGTTGGGATAAATCGGGATTTCTGGAATAAATTTCGAGATTTTTAGAGATAAAATTGGGGTTTATAAACATTTTCTTGGAGAATTTCCGGATAGATTTTTTTGGCCATTTTTTGGGATTTTGGTATCTACAATCTTGGACAAAATAAAATGGAACAGCAAACCCCCATCCCCCCCCCCCCAAATCAAGGATGAAGGCGCGCGAAGAGCAAAAACGCGCCATTTTCCCATCCTTGATTTGAGGGGGAGGGGGGTCTAGGTTTTCCATTTATTTTGTCCCAGAATGCAATCTTGGACAAAATAAAATGGAACAGCAAACCCCATCCCCCCCAAATCAAGGATGAAGGCGGGCGAAGGGCAAAAACGCGCCATTTTCCCATCCTTGATTTGGGGGGGGGGGTCTAGGTTTTCCATTTATTTTGTCCAAGATTGTAGGCCTAGTGCAGTTCGAGGAACAGTTTGTTTTCCTGGATAAATATAACATCATTCACCAGGATCTGGATTACTTCTTACAATATAGAACCTTTTGATTTGTTACTTAGGCGTTTTCTCCTCCCTACCCTCCTGAAAATTGGCTACCTGATTCTCTGGTCAATGTATTAACCTTTTCCGGGCAACCTGTTTAGACGTTCAGATAGACTTTCGCAAACTGTCGTTTTCGGTTTCCGCTGGTTAGCTCAAGCAGTCGACTTGTGGCTAGCCTCCCACGCAGACGTTCTTAGGGATTCGTCAAGGGTTCCTGTTGGAACGCGTGACGCACCCCTAAGAATGTCTGCGGGGGAGGCTAACTTGTGGCTAGCCTGCGTGGCAGGCGTTCGAAAGGGAAGGGGAAGGAAATTAGAGCGCGAGACAACGCGTAAGGGAGGAGGAAGGAGGGGAGTCTTTCCTTTCTTTTCCTTTCTCCCTCGCGCGCCCAAATTCCCCCTTCCTCTTCCCCTTTTAACGCCTGCCACGCAGGCTAACTTGTGGCAAGTCTAGCGTTCAGATAGCGGATTGCGGGTGAAACATAGATCGAGCAAAAATAAGAGGGGGATGAGGGCGAGACTGAGAGCTGCGCTCCCGTGTTTTTTCCTCTTTTCCCCGTCTCACTTTATTTTTCTCCTGCGCTCCACTACTGAACATATGGAACAGCTTAGTTGTAAAATATCTATGCTAGGAATTACCATTTCAAATACACAATTTACTTCTAGGACTCCTTTTTCTGTTAAACTAGTCAGTATTTTATGTCATCGTTACATAGATTACAAGATTTGTTAAAATCCACTTGGAATTCGTACTCTTTCTCAGTATTCATTTAGTTCCCTCGAAAACCATTTCTGATTACAGACCAAAAAGGGCAAATGCACCCGTTCGGATTATTCTGCCATTCAAGGATCAAAGATCAGCCGACATTGTACGTAGACAGCTGTCCGATCTTGGAAAGAAAATAAACAGTGATATACGCCCAGTTTTCACAAGCAAGAAAATTGCCGACGACATCAGAGTAGCTGAAGCCAAACCACCGTTAATAAATCAACAATGCGTTGTTTACAAATTCAAATGTGATCTGTGTGATGCGGATTATGTTGGTTATACTCGCCGACACCTTTTCCAACGCATTGATGAACACAAGCACTCAGCTATTGGAAAACACCTGCGTGACTCTCACAGTCAGAAGAACAAAGACCTCACTGAACAATTCACTATACTGAAGAAATGTCGTGGGAAATTTGAATGCCTGATCTACGAAATGCTTTTTATCCAGGAAAAGAAACCCAAACTGAACACTCAATCAGACTCAATAAAAGCGAAACTATTTAGTACCTAATTAACACTCACTACATTCCACATTGTAGTTTTTAATCACGTGCAACGAGACTTCACACGCATTCTTAATATATAAAGAACTTTTAACAATCTAACTTTTTTAGAATTTGAAAATGATGAGCGAGTCATCGAAACGTCATTCAAAATTTTTATCTTTGATTTTTATTCTTAAACCGAAAATGAAGATAGGTTAGGTTTTAGGCTACGGTTTGCCCTCACAGGCAAGGGCGGTGAAAAAAATCATGCAAGCTTAGAAAGTGCCCCCCCCCCTCCCAACCCCCATCCCCCATCACTTTTCTAATGGTCCGTCCCTAATCGGTGCGGGGCTCCAAAGATCTCCAAAGGCTCTTTCGTTTTTCGACCAATTAGACAAAATTCCAGATTCTGGATTACGGGGAGACGACGCGAAGCGTCCTTTCCCCTCGCCTCCAAAACTAAAGGAAAGAAGGCCCGCCTGCCATCACGTTAGCTTAGACAAGTAACTGAGAAATTACTAATTGGACAAAGATCTTTTTAAAAATCTTCGTTTAAAAACTCAGAGTTGAGACCAGGTTTCTTGATTAGTGGTGTTACAATAGCCTCTTTGATTCCATTTCGGGAAAAGTGCCCAGCTCCAGCGAACAGCTTATCGTTCGTTGAGATAACTGGAAGCACTGACATCGAGGCATTCAGCAACGAGCTTCGTCGGCATAAGATCGAGGTTGCAATTCTTCTTGACAGGGCTGGAAATGAAACACATCTGATTCAGAGAGTAAATCAAAAGAATCAAAGAGAAGCTCGCAGTGACAATCAGCAGGAGTGGACCTAGGGGGAGGGTGCAGAGGGTGCGCACCCCACCCCCCTAGATGATCTGCGGTTTCTAATACAACTGGTATTCTGTAAAAAATAAAATCTTTGTGGTTTACTGGTGTTGAAGTAAAACATGTGACGAGGTTGATATGCTGACATGTATTCTCAGCCGTCAGGAGGGCTCCTGCAGCCGTTCAAATTTAATATGACTTATAACCACGACGACGACCGGAAGTGAGTTACAGTGTACTGCGCAAGCGCGACCAGTAAATTTCGTCGCTTAAAACAGAGGACGAAGTGATTCAACTTTGTTCGTCGTCGTCGTCGCCGTCTTTTGTCGTCGTCCGTCGTGGTGTCGTCGACGACGCCAAACAAAGTAGAATCACGTCGTCCTGCAATCCACAAGCTTCGGTAGATATAAATCCACTGTTTTAAGCGATCTTTGAAGTCCTTTGAATTTTCTTATCTTCGTATCCAGGTATCGTTCCTTTTTTCTCCTAATAAGCGATGTTGATTGAAAATTCGGCTAATGAATTGTTTTTACTTCGAAGAATGACAACAGCTGTGGAGGCCGAGCGAGCGAACTCGTAAGTGATAGAATTTAGTTGTACATATTTAGGTAAGGCAAATCATATATCTTTAATATAGAGGAAATAAACTTTGTATGGAAAACAGCTATCACATCACAATGTCTCTTTTTCCAAATCTAAACTCTGACAGACACTCGGACTCGGTCATCTCATTCAGGTTGAAAGATGAATAATCTTCGTACGGAAAGCAGGTGTTTTTCCACTCGAAAAGGTCAGACAACACAAAAATTCTTCATCGTCGATGAAATTAGACGTACGGCTTACAAAAAATAAGATCTTGCATTGTTTTAAAAAACAAGAAAAAACAAGAAAAACTTTGTTGCGAACAAACACCGCAGTTTTACATTTGTGTTTACATTCATTGTCGTCGTCGTCGACCTACCGACGAGATTTTTTCCCTCCGAAACTGGCGTTCTTGTTCCAGTCTTTTTCCAGTCAACAGACGTCGTTGCCGTGAACTTCGACGTAGTTCTTAAGTTTCCTATTGCCCCGTCAAAAGCCTTCTTGCCTGCATAACAGGCGCTTTAAGAGCCAAGCGAGGAGAACGCGGCTTCTTGCGCGAAACGCGAAACGAGTGCGAAGCGCGAGACGAGGGGAGGAGAAAAATATCGTTTCGCGCTTCGCGCAAAATCCCGCGTTGGCCTCGCTTGGCTCATAAAGCGCCTGTTATGCAGGCTTGAAGCCTTCTTTTTTGTATTCGCTTTTAAAACTTGTTTACGTCCGCAGCCAGTTACGCCATTCCTTTATAGTGGTGCACACCCTTTAAGAATAATCCTGGGTCCGCCCCTGATCAGCATCCAAATCTTGTCTAGGCCGAAGAACTACATTAATATCAAGATCATAGCGGGTGTTAGATATTTTCTGGATGGAGAAATTTTTTATATCGTTTGCAAGTTCGTGGTCATCATTATAACTGGGAAAGGACAGCTCATCTTTCTGTACTAGCAACTTTTTAACTTCACGAAAAAGTTCAGGGGCACCCAACGGGAAATTTTGAGAAAAAGACCTAAAAACAAAAACAAAGCGTAAATAAAGTTTTCTGAGACTATTGTAAGCATTTTGGGAGATTGCTGGAAAAAAATTATCTGTTCC